TGGGGGGGGGGGGGAAGGGAAGTCCTACATATAAACATTTTGTCCTACATATAAACATCTTTCCCGAAAATGTTGGGGAAAGAATTTTGGCTGGACCTGACGTATTCTTAATACACGTGCCAGTTTTCTTTCATCTTCCCTGAATTTTTTCTCTCTTTTGGGGGGCTTAGCCCCCCACTTTTATTTTTGGGGGCTATGGCTCTTTGTCCCCCCCCCCCGTTCCGCCGCCTACGACGTGAGAACACATATGCAAGCGATATACAAAGAACGGTAATTTTGCCAACCTTTGGCACACCATTTTCACTATATTCCGTAAAATCATAGCCATCGTCACCGTAGAGCAGCTTGTAAGTTTTCGTCCACGTTTTCGTATTCTCACGTCCCTGCGTCTGCACTTCTTCCACGATAACTTTGGCAATGAAGTCGACTTGAAACCACGGGTCAGAATCGTCTCCAGCACTACGCCAGCAGTCCCAATTCATTTGTTGATCCACCACTAATCTTCCAAACTGCGGTGCCGTCATAGGGGCATTGTAGGACGACGCAGTTATTTGCGAGGCATGAATAAGGCCATTCGCAAACCCGAGTGGTGCACCATCTCGACAGCCTAAGAATAAGTGACCAAACAGTTTAACGCGACACGATAATTCGCGTACCTACGTACCAGAGGTACGCCAAAGCAAGGCTTAATCTAGTACGGACACGTGAGAAGAAACAGATAATTTTACACTTATAAAATTATAAAGGACTACTGTTATTAATAACAAATAATGACTTCGACAAGCAGGACAAAAGTACAACGAGGACGGCTATGAATATGATATTACCAAATACAAGAAAATGAGCAGAAATTAACAATTAAAATCTCATCGGGGAGTTTTAGACGCCGCCGTCGCTCTGTTTACAACGGCAAAAGACGGATCGTGCGCGTCTTGTATTATGTTTCAAGCTGGGACAACTGCTACTTTCAAGTGGGTCCTAGAACTTTTCTCAATCATTGGCCCTTCTTAAACTGTGCTAGTAAGTATTTTTCATACGATGGATAATGGACGGCAAGTTTTCTTCCACAATCGTTTGGCTCAACGAGTTTGTTTGCCGTACGTCGACGTCGCTAGCCTGCGAGCAGGCTCTCTGCTAGCAGGCTACGACGTCGCGTTCCCGTATAGTACATGCTTGAGGTCGCTAAAGTTGTATTCATAAACCGGGCTACATATCTTGCTTAAACAAACGATATTATTATTATTTGTACAGAATAAAACAGTGGTCTCTGAGCGAAGTCTACTCGAAGCCTGGAGGGTGGGAATTTACTGGAAAACAAAACAAAACAAAACAAAACAAAACAAAACAAAACAAAACAAAAGTTAAGTTGACTTCCACTACTATAGTTGACTTCCACTACTACTGTTTACTGGTGGTGCAGGGGAGGGGATGCAGGGGAAGGGGTGCAGGGGATGGGGAGAGGGTGCGCGCTCCCTTTAGCTCTGCCGAGAAGTGCCAGGGGGTGCTAATTTCTTTATCAAATCCATTTTGCTTAATTTGGAAAGGCAATATCCTGTCACCATTACCACAATAATACTCCTGCATGAACCCTTCAAGGGGCAAAGTTTCGGCCATTCCAGCAAACACTGTTGTGCGTATAGCTCCAAATGATTATGAACTTAGTCAACGGACGCACCCCAAATCATGACCGTGGGTCGATGAGCACACACACACAGGGACGCCGGAACTGGGGGGCAGGGGGGGCGGCTACCCCCCTTGCGTTTTGCTAAGGGGGGGGCAGGGGGGGGGCAGAAGTGCCCTTTTAGTTGTAAAATAATACGTGATAAATCACATTTCCAACGATGGTTTTTGTAGGAAAATCATGAGATTCAGGTAATTTATAGTTTATATTTATAAAAATTTTGGAAAATGTTGGAAAATTTTTGGAATTTAGAAAAATATTTTGAAGAAATGGCGAAAATTTAGGGTATCCGGAAAAATTTTTGACTTCACGGAAAATTTTGGTATGTCCGGAAAAAATTTTGGACCCCTAAAATGGTACACTGACCGACATTTTTTTGGCGACGGGGGGAGGGAGGTCGCCAAAAAATTTTGCAGTGAAAAAAAAATTTTTCAGTAGAGGTGCCCTTGGTGTGCGTCCGCCCCCCTTTGCCCTATTATCGTTCCGGCGTCCCTGCACACACACACACCCCACACCCCATCATATCTGGCTGGATCTATCCCTTCCACCACCGCTACCTTTCACTGACTTAGTATACGCATGTGATTGGTTGATCGGATGCATTCAACGCATCTGATTGGTTAATGGCAGTGCACGTGGTAGTCGTCTTGACCTCACAATGGACGACTTGCGCTTTAGACTAAATTTTAATCTAAGTAAGAACAACGAAATCTATCAACACAGCTAGAAAACGCGTCTTGGAATTAGTAATATTACAAAGTTTGGTTGCGAAATGTTGTAAATTACGGAAAATATAGCCCTTCAAAGTAGTTGGCAAATTTGTATACTTTTGTATTACGTGCCTGAATTGGTAACTAAAGCCCCGTTTACACTACGCTCAATGTTTGGTACGGCACGGATTTAATTGGTACCCGTACCACTTTTTTGGTTCTTGGACTACCTATTTAGGTATTCCAAGAACCAAAAAAGTGATACGGTACCAAAAATCGAGCATAGTGTAAACGGGGCTTAAATTAGTTACCAATTTCCGCACGTAATAGAAATGTATACAAATTTGCCAACTTCGCGGGGCTATATTTTCCGTATTTTACAACATTTCGCAACCAAAGTTTGCAGTTTTTCTAATTTTGATAACTTCTTTCCAAAAATATCCTTTGTTATTCCCAGATTAAAAATTTTTCTAAAGCGCAAGTCGTCCATTATTACCTATATAGCAACCAACAAATTCCAGTCTCATGGAGCAATAATTTTTCCACGATTTCGGATATATACGAAAGAAACGATGCGTTTCTGGTGTTGTAAGAGTATTTTCCCTTGGTGTATTTCTGTCAACGTTACCATTAAAAACCTAAAAAAATACATAAACCAATGAATTACGGAAATATTTAAACAAATCTACTACTACTATGTCATTTTCACTCTCTAGGTAGCAAACCTGTTTGTAAAAAAGTAGTCCAAGCATAGGAAAATTCGGCACGGGTGCCATTTTCCTTTGGAATTTGCATCTTGCTTTAAAAAGGTCACATACGCTTTTCGCGTGAAGCGCGATGGGCTTACTTTATGGCAATTCTCGCAATTTTTGAAAGCTTCTTTTTCCCACCCTTTCAGTGCAAATATGATTAAACTTTGACTAGGTACTAAGTCCCCGTTTACATGAGACCAAAACGAAGTCAAACCGGGACCATTTCGTTTCGGTCATAGTATTGTTTATAATAGATGTTTACATGAGACCAGAACGAAAATAACTCAAACCGGTCTGACTTCAGACCGGGATGAATTCAGACCGGGATGAATGTAAACACAAATACATTTCAGACCGGTCTCGGCTGTAACCTTGACATTGGAACAACACATGCTAACAAAAGCCATCTAAAAACGAAAATTACTTGGCAAGGGGAATAAATTGAAAATTTTGTGATTATCGTACCGGTCTCATGTAAACATGATGATAATTTTAATTTTCATTCCGGTTTCACTTCGTCCCGCTCTCATGTAAACGGGGCCTAAGCATAGATATCTTATATACACTAGATAGTGCACCTAATTATTCTGCAATTCAAAAATTGAAGCCGTGATTGCAGACTCAAGATATTCCCATGAAATGAGAAGACTCGTATGTTTTCTATTTCTTAAACAGGGGACTTAAACATTAAGTTAAACGTATTTCAAATACATTTTCAAACTGTTCAAATGATGAAAGTTATTGTTGTTTTTTAAGCGTTTATTAGCGAGTGGGAAACTCCAACATGGCCGCCATCTATTCAAATAGGGTAACCGCTGGAATATTCTTGGCTTCAATTTTACATAAAGAGATGCGCTATCTGGTGTATATAAGATATCTATGGGCCTAAGTTTCAAATCGTCTTTCCAAATTTCTAAATTTGGTACTTTTTAAAACCTCGTTCCAAGCCCCTTGATCAACTTCGCAAAAGCTACAAACCTTCGAATCCTGTTTCCATGTCATACTCGCATCATCCCTGTATTTCACTTTAAACGTCTTCACCCATTGATCATTATTAATACGGCCTTGTGTGATAACTCCAGTAACCGTCACTGGTCGCAAGAAATCCACTTGTATCCAAGGGGTATTATCTCCATGTATAGCACGCCATGCTCCTGAAGAAACACCGGGTGTTTTTGGAAGATTGAGACGACCAGCTTTTCCACCCAATAGTGTTGATGCGGAACTTTTCACTGAGATTTGTGAATCCTGAATGCGACCATCCTCTAGACCCAGCCGTATGGGATTCGAGCAAGAGCCTACAAAAACAACAGCTACAGATCTCAAATTTAGAAATGGATTGTGGATCTGCTAGCTATGGCTATGGCTAATATCTTAAAACAATTTGTGTTGTTTTTTTTTCTGTGTTGGTTTTTTTCTGTGTTGGTGTTGTGTACTCAGGTGAATATGATGTTTGTGATGTTACTCTGAGTGTATATTCACACCGGGCGCGAGCTTGAAAAATATGCCCGGCCACGGTGGGAATCGAACCTACGACCTTTGGAATACATACACTCAGAGTAACATCACAAATATCATATTCACCTGAGTACACAACACCAACACAGAAAAACTCATATTACTAGATTACATTGGTATCGAAGGAACTAGATTCTGTTCCGAAATATCACTTACTCGAACCGTCCTGACCGCGTAGCTCAGATGGCAGAGCATTGGCCTAGTATTCCAAAGTCGTAGGTTCGATTCTCACCGTGGCCGGGCATATTTTTCAAGCTCGCGCCCGGTGTGGATATACACTCAGAGTAACATTTGTGTCTGTATAATACGCCCTCTATATATTCCGGCATATATATATCCTCTAACGAGTAACGAGTTCGCAAAGTTTGTTTTGTCCATATATTCTAATATATACTTATCGCAACTAGCTATATGTGGGCTTATCATCATCCTTCCCCATAGTCTCAAACATTTTAAACACTTCAATAGCTGTAATGTTAATAAATATGGAGTTTCAAAGCAAAAAATTAATATTGAAATCTATCCTAATACGTGAACAACTATAAGCAGTTTATGAACAATTTATATCCCCGCCAGCGGGATGAAATCTCCGGCGCATATGAATGCAAACAAAAATTCCTCTCGCCTACCGGGCAACACGTCTCGCTTAGCGGAATATAACAGTTGTAAATTTCACTATGCGGCCAGTGTATGCGGCCACACTAATTCCCGACGAAGGGCCTTTGCTCGAAACGTCGAATCTGTTTGTATCGTTTAGGTAGTGAGTAGAACCTTTGCTGCTTGTTAAATGATGTCTAACAGATGTAAATAACTATTATAACTAAAAGTATTTCATAAATATAACATCATATATGCCTTGCTTAATTTAACGATATGGCCCGAGATATGGCCTTCTCTAAGGCCAAATTCTCGTCTTCCTCCTGGTATGCGGCCATCCAGTTAAACAAACCGCCAATTTTCCGCTCTCCTTTCACGACGTCGGCGTACGATCGTTTACCGTTAGACATGTTTTTTAGTCTTTAATGTCTGAGAGTTTGAAGAGGTTACCTCAGGTAACGATTGAACGGGCAAAGTTTGATGTTGCTTTCAGGCTTGCAAAGCCGCAATAAAGAAACGTGTGTGGTGTTCTATTTCATGCCATGAGGTGTGATGTTAGAGCGGTATGCCTGATGTGTTTTTCAATTCAATTTTAATTTCCTTCTTAGTTCTTTCTATGTGCTTGCATTTTTATCGCTAGCAGCAGAAAGCAAAAAGTATTTTTATGGTTTGAAGGAAAAACGTGGTTTAAAAGGATTTCGTATTCTGCAAATGATCGGCATTCGCAAATAGCTATATATACTGTAAATCTGTAATAGTTTTTGAAACGCGAATGAGTTTTAGCTAGTGAAGAAAAAAGAACGACCCACGATTAACCTACGACACACGACATAAAGTGACACGTATATATTTGACAAACGGAAATACAATATGCATGTGCATAATGATAAGCCCACATATAGCTAGTTGCGATAAATATTAGAATATATGGACAAAACAAACTTTGCGAACTCGTCACTCGTTAGAGGATATATATGCCGGAATATATATAGAGGGCGTATTATACAGACACAAAATGTATATAATTAAAATAACTATATATTGATGTATATATTGATGGAATGATTTAAATCGATGTGATGTATTTGTTACCATTGCGCAAAGATATTTCACAAAGGTTTATTATTTACGAGACACCCTAGATAACGTTTAGAAAATAGAATATAGAATTTTGGAAGACAAATAGCTAGATAGGTCAAGGAAAAGTGATGGAACGTGAAGTTTTTTGCCTACAGAAATTAAATCATATTCTGAGGGTTGTTGAAAAAATAATGGATTTTTGGGCAAAATTTTTGCTAAAATTTTGAGTCCAATTTTGGGTCCATTTTTTAGTCTAATTTTGGGTCCAGTTCATGGGCCCAGTCCATGTTTTGTACTATGCCAAAATTAACAGTCTACATGAACATATTAATATTTCATACAGAGGTAGCTTCCAGACAAAACGGGCGATCATGTATAATCCGAGACCCTAAGGTGCATTGCCTAAAAGAATATTCAAACGCATGTATTCCAAATACAAGACTGTTATAGCATTTGATAAAATCACTAATTAACATTATTTTCTGATTCTGATAACTGTCTATATTTGCGACCATGCGTCTACAGCGGTATATAGCAAAACTTACCTTTTAAGAAAAGAAAAAATATTTCTCAATTGTTGGCACAAACTAATTTGTGTAATTACATATGCTAATACCGGGACAACTATTATATCATTATTTACAATATAAACGTTGATTACTTAAAAGCTGCCGCGACGAGATGGAAAGCGGGATAATTTTGATGTTTTTAAATAAATCACCAGCGCTAGGCTTTTAAAAAAAAGTTCAAACGAAATTTCGTATATATATAGTTCAAAAGAATTATTACTGTTACTTGAACAGCCTTTCGTTTAAAATTGTATACTATAATCTATCACTAGAAAAATACTCATGTAGCTTTGCTGAATCCCCTGCACCGTGACTTCTCATCCTGCTTCACATCTTTTCCAGGTAAAGCGGGATGAAACAGAGCTTAACAGTCCCTAAATAAGATCTACAGTTTCAGATGCATTCAGTTTGAATTCTGAAACAGGATCATGTGTTGTGTACAAAATGTGGAATTGGTCGGCTTCTTTCTATGATATAGACCTGATCACACATGGATGCATCCATGTTCACATTATTGCGCATTTAACAAAACTATTTTTTAATGTTTAGCTCATAATGTGAAGCCACGAAGAATCGCAGAATATCTATACGACCAAGGCCTGAATTCTTACTGCACCATGACAAACCATGCTGTTAAGAGCTGACGGCAACTGATTACTTTTCGCTGTATCGGAAAATACGTTAGTAGTTCTTTAATATCTGAAAGGCATTCATTTATTCATTACACTAAATATAGGAAACGGCATAAAGCAACACTAGGTCTCAAAACTGTCGTTTTGTCGGGAAAATTCCTAACTCGTAGATCGTGAAACAAGGCTTTTATAACCTTAAACTGTGAACATCAGTAAAACAAACTATATCATTTTTCGGCCGAGACAAAAGAAAATTAATTTAAATCTAGTTATCCAATATAACAATCAAATTATCACCCAAAAACAATACATAAAATTTTTAGGAGTATATATAGACGAACATTTGTCATGGAAGGAACATATTAATTATATTTGCAATAAAATCGCCAAGTCTGTTGGAATTATTTACCGATCACGATATCTACTGTCATCCGCAACAAGATTATCCTTGTACTACACACTTATATATATCCCTATCTTACTTATTGTAATATTGTATGGTCTTCCACTTATGTAACCAACCTCAATAGAATTCTCCTTTTACAAAAACGAGCTGTACGTATTCTTACAAATTCCGAATACCGTGCACACTCTGATCCACTTTTTAAACAACTCAAAATATTGGATATATTTAAGCTAAATACATTTCACATTGGAAGTTTATGTTTTTATATCATCATTGCATGTTGCCAACATGCTTTGATAATCTGTTTACAATAAACAATTAAATACATGGTTATGACACCAGATCTGCCGGTAACTATAGATCTCATGCTTGTCGAACTAATATTAAGCAGTTCACCATCTTATACTCAGGACCGAATATTTGGAATTCTTTACCTACAAACATAACTGAGATAAACACAATCTCGTTATTCAAGATGCAACTTCGTAATTTTCTGCTTAACGAATAAGGAACAGCTAACTCTGATCAATATGCTACGACCATGTTTATCGAATATTCAGTAACAATATATAAAATTATTGGAAAATCTATTATATATTTTTGTAAATTTTCTTTCTTATTATAAACTTCTTTATGTTTCAATTTCATTATATGTGTCTGTAACTTAATTTCAATTTCATATTATATATGTCTGTAACCCTAAATTATACCAATTAATTAAATATCTAACTTTGAATTTTTGAGATGAGGTGGCCTCTTTACACAAGCTCTAAGCTTCTTGAGGTCTCCTCGCCGACTTTATTTTATTAATATCTTGTAAATAGCTAACAGTCTTTCTTTTTTTTTGGCAAATAAATCAATAATAATAAACGAATGTCAATTGTAACGCAGCTGAGATGATAAACACATCCCAAGTCACACGTTTACTTTGGAATATTCTCGAAAATTCGAAAATTAAGACTTTCACCACAATTTGTTTAGACTGACTGATACTATAAAGTAGAAATACATGCATGCAGTAACCCCTCGCCTTGCTCGCAAAACCAATATGTTATACTAACATGTATACAGGGTGTCCCAAAACCACCGAAAACTATTGAAAAATGCCTCAGCACTAGCTCTCCTGAACCCACACGTACATCAAAGCTTGACATAAGTAAATTGCATGCATAAACTTTGCAATTAGTTTCAAATAAATTGATTTCAAATTCTCGCCTGAAAATAACTTCATGTTGGCTTTCCTCTTTATCTGAAAATTTTAATCAATAAGAAGGATAATAATTATCAGTTATAGACCTGAAACGAGGGGTATTCCACAAAAAATTACCCTGAGGGATGAAATATTCCGAGGGCGAAGCCCGAGGAATATTTCATCCCGCAGGGTAATTTTTTGTGGAATACCCCGAGTGAAAGGTCTATAAATG